AAAGTGCAAGATGGCGGCCACCAGAGCGATATATGCGATGTTTTGAAATTATTTTTTTAGGAACACGGATGCTCTATCCCCTCTAAAAATTGAATTTTTGTGTTTCTCATTTGATGTACTTTCTCTTAAAAATGGGTCATTTTGGGGGGTAAGTTGCCCTTTAATGACGTCGCTCATGCGCAGCGTTTTTAGACTAGAAAGAACACTGACTCACCTCTTTTCACCCAAACGGGCGTTGGGGGTAGGTAATGGCGTTTACAAAGAGGTAAGACACCTTATTTATTTTTTCATTTCATTTCTTTGATGGTAGATGCATCTACTGGATGTAAAATCCCGACAGAAAAACGAAGAGCTTGCTTTGTCAAAACCTGCTAAAGAAAGCACTCAAAGACTTTACTCCACACCAAAGACGGTATGACATGTTCTTTTTACACTCATCTGGAGTGAGCTTTTGTCCCTTGTCACTGAAGTTCCAATGCGACAACACTTTCTTTACAGATATATTTTGCCTGTCTTTTTCTTTTTCTGTTTTTTCTCTTGGTGGTTGTCAACTCGAAACACATGCACCTTTTCACTTTTTGTAATAGTATTATGATTTGTAATACTTATTAAGTTTTATAATATTAGTTATTTAACGTGTACAATGAATAATGTCTCTCTCTTTTTATTACAATCGCTCTCTGTAGGCGCCTAGAAAAGGCAATAGAGGCTTTGGGCCATCACGTGATGACAGCAATGTTAGATAGCAAAAACAATACAATCGTTTATTTTGATGTGTTGCCGGCTTTTTAAAAATATTTGTTAGGTTCGTATTGAAGTCTTCCAAAATGGAGAGTCTATCGAACGAGCTGTTATCGTGTATGGTGCGAGTATTAGAGAGGTAAGCACCTTGACCGACGTGAGGTACTTACTATTGTCGTCATCGTCATCATTATCGTAGCCTGCGTGCAGCCGACCTCTAGCTGACTGAAACGAAAAGAGAGAAAAGTCTGGCTGTACGCAGGCTACATTATCGCCATTTTCACCACCATCATCATTGTGATCTTTATCGCCTTTATTACCATCCTCATCACCATCATCATCATCATCATTAGCGTACACATTTTCAGATTTTCTTACTATTTCGAAAAATATTGGTTTTGATAATAATCATGGTACTTAAACAAATGAAGATACTTTCCTGTCATTAGGCTTAAGCCTTGGTCGATCTCAGCTTCTGCTCATTCTTAGCACATAGTGCCGACCTGTTTCCCATCAGAGTTGCGCATTCCCTTATTTATAGTACACTCAACAAAATTACTCGACTCTGATTGGTCGAGAGGAGTACAATTATAGCGTTAATTGTAGTCCGTAGGAATACCGAATTAAGTCGCTATGGCAACACGGCCAAAACAATGTCAAAACAATTATTTTCTATCATTTTGTACTTAAAAAACATATAAACAAGATTTTAAAGCCGTAAGAACTAATCTTTTATATGCATTTCAGTTGCGCGATGGACTGAAAATCGGCCGCCAAATAGACAAAGATGAACGACGTCACTTCGCATTTTTTACTGAAATTTTGTTGAGTGAACTATAAACAAAAAATCGCACGATCTCGAGTACAATTTGGAAATTAATAGACACGAGTAATGTTTTGAAAGTTCTTGTAATTGCATGAGCCTCTATTTCCTATACAAATGAGTGAGGCGGAAATGCAATATATACTACGCTATAAAACTGTTCATCATTCCATTCTCAGATCCTACCATATACAATCATATACATTCATTAATTCAGTATGATTATTTCCTCACTCCATTTTAGGTTCTTGATAATAGCACGAGTCGACTAGGTCTCAGCAGTGCTGCTAGGAGGATCTTCAGACTGGATGGAAGAGAGGTAAATTCCTATTATATTATTTACATGCGTGGTTGTACGATTAAGCCTGGTTACGATCACTACGGTCGTCCATTATTGCGTTTCAACGGACCACAAGTGTTTGCCTTCTAGTCCATATTACCCTCAGCTGCCCTCATTATGTTTCTGCAAAGCTAACAGGTTAGTCGGAGCTTTACAAACCCAATTTTCGACTCGTGGCTGACTGCCGATGGCTATGACATTTCGGCGGAGTTGAGTTACGATCTGAGCGGCGCTGAGCGGCGGAATAGTTCTGCGCAGAGCAGACATGATTAGAACTGCTTTGGTTAGCTAGATGTTGTTGACTGCGTTTTACTCGTCACTCCTAGGTCGTGCTACAATCACGTGTATTTGTCTTCGCCCCTATACTTGTTATGGCTTATCCAGATTTTTGAGCATTGATGTGGAGCGTATTTTTTTTGTTGTTAGCGGTTGCATTCCTTTTGTTTCTGCCCTTGGTTTGATGGAGCAGATGTGAATTGGCTTTTTCATGATATTGCCTGCTCTCGCTTTATTTTACTACCATTATCATTGAAGTGCGACCCACGAAGTGCAATGTCTCGTTTGCTGACTAGCATTTCAGCGACCATCGATCAAAGAACTGGGAAAACAATATCTTGAGGGAGATTTTAGACTGAATTAAAGATCTTAATCCTCTAATCCCCTAAAATCTTCAATTCAGTTCAAAATTTCAACCTTCTGCTATGGAGTGTGGACTGTATCGTAGCCAATGGCTTAGTGTGTGGCTAATATAATCTTATAACAATTTATTTAATGTGCTTTTAATGTTGCCAGATCTTAGAATTTGCTGATATTCGTCGAGGCGAGACGTTTTGCGTTAGCTGTGGAGATAATTTCATCAGAGCGAGAGGTAGATCAGTTTTTGAAATTTCACCCGTTTCTTGCAGTTTACATAATAAAACCAGTTTGATTGTTGCTTAAAAATCTTCTATTAGATATTTTGAAAATGATGGTTGAAACTTTAATTTAGCTACTTCGAAGTATTCGTCGCAATTGCATTGCAACTTTTGGGAAATATCAGTTTTGGAGGTTTGAGTGACCTCCTTATAATTGCAGTCAATGACGTGCTCAGATTCTGTGAATTACTTGTGTTACATCTCTGAAACTGATTTAGTAAAACAGATACACAAAAAGACAACATTCAAAAATTTGCTAACTTAATTTTTTTCCAATCTCATTTTTTTAACATTCATGTTTACATGTCCCATCCCTAAAGAAATCCATTATATTGATTTCCTGCTCCATTGCAAATATAAACAACCCTCTATTTCCGTTTTGCCCTCCAGTACCCCATTCAAATAATCGTTTCGAAGCATAAAAAGCACTGGTGCAATGCATGGTGGATTTCGGGTGATGTTCTTGGTAATCCACATGAGGTTCATTTCTCCTCATGCTGGTCTGTATTGAAAACATCTGTTAAATTCATGTTCTTTTTAGATCGTCGCCATCAAATGGAGCTGAAAGCAACTTGGTCACGGATGGTTAGATGTCCAGGAGGGTATGTCTTAACAGAAAGTACAGCTGCTAACGTTACCTATGAGGTAAGGGGCTCAAAAGAATTCTTTTTATGACTGATGTCGTTCTCCAAGATTTTTACCGATTTCCCTAACAGCTTAAA